AAATAGTTTTAAGACGAGGTATGATAAAGCTCATGGAGCAGGGGGAGGGAGAGGACCTAGTAGCGGTCGGCGAAGGGGCGGGGCCAGGAGCTGAGTCTCGACCCCTGCAACCACAATTAGGTGAGTACAATTAAGTGAGTACACACACACACACACACACAAAGAGAAATGTCAGAGACCTTTTCCTAAGGACAAACAAAAAAGAGATATGTCCGTGACCTTGTACTACGGTTTTCCCCTCCTGTGTTTCCCAGCAATATCCTGAGGGACTCCCTCTTGTTTTCAAGTGTCTTCCCCTGACACACTTTGTGCCGAGGGCTGCTGCTTCTGGTCCTCTCGTTGACAAACATTATTCTTCGTCTTCAAGGCTCTTTACACAGCTAATGCTGAAGTTTTCCACTCTTCCTCTTCCTATTGTTACTCGAGACCTACTTAATTTTTTTTATCCGCCCTCGACTCCAGCGAACCCAAATGTAGCCGGCGACAGAATGCTCTGTTAAAGTATTTCTACTTAAATGTTAACGAAATTGTGTCTCTTAGAGAGAGAGAGAGAGAGAGAGAGGAGAGAGAGAGAGAGAGAGAGAGAGAGAGAGAGAGAGAGAGAGAGAGAGAGAAAGAGAGAGAGAGAGAGAGAGAGGGAGAGAGAGGAGAGAGAGAAGAGAGAGAGAGATGAGAGAGAGAGAGAGAGAGAGAGTATGGTATTGTAATTAATTCTGTGTTACAGTTACAGGGAAAGGGATGGTGCTTGTGCGAAGACGGGAGAGAGGTGAGGTACATAAGTAAGCAGAGAGAGAGGAAGGGGAGAAATGTACGATTGAGTCCGAACAGTGAAGAGAAAAAAGCAGGGAAGAAAAAAACAGTAAAGAAAACTAACGCCACATTCAGAATTTTATTCTGGACATCAAACGTAATTTTTCAAAAGGCCAATAGTTCCTATTTTTTTTTTTACATCGTTTGTTGCACGCGGTTTCACGATTTTTTTTCACCCACTAATGACCCACTTATTAAAGCACTGTAACCTGCAGCCAGCTAGACATAAATGGCAGTTCACGCTGTATATCCAGGCCCTTTCCACTAGCCTTTATCCCTCGTTCAAACTGTTCCAATTAATGGGTTAAAAATAAATCGAACCAATGCAGAATTCTAAATTTCCAGACCTTATGGAACATGGCGCTTAGAGGACGTCAGCAAATTATTCTGAGCCTCAATTGTAGTGGATGAAAGGACACTCTCATCTTCATTATTATTATTATTATTATTATTATTATTATTATTATTATTATTATTATTATTATTATTATTATTATTATTATTATTATTATTATTATTATTATTACTGTTATTGTTATTACTACTTTTATTGTTATTATTATCGTTATTATTATTATCACTGTTATTGTTATTATTATTGTTATCGGTGTTATTATTATTATTATTGCTAATGTTATTATTCTTGTTGTTACTAATATTATTATTTGTATTATTATTATTACTTTTATTATCATTATTATTGTTGGTATATTGTTATTATTTTGGTGGAGCACTAAACCATCTGGGGTCGTACGGCGCCTGGAAAATGAGAAGCAATGAAGCTTTAAGAAAAAAACAGACCCAATTCCTCGTATCAAAAGCACTCTAGCTGATTTATTTGTTAATTTTTGTAAGTCGTAATAACATCAATGATTACTAATAATAACAGTCTCGCAACTCATTACCAAAATAATTCCTAATATTTTTTTTTGTTTTACATTTTATTTAAAAGACATGTATAGTACATAAAAGTAAACGAAAAATTACATAGCGAAAACAGTGGTGAAAAATTCTGCATAGTACATGTACTTTCCAATTAACATATTACATCTGAAAGACACAAATCTGTACAGTAAACAATGACCATTCCAATCCTTGTAGTAATGACATTATGCCTGGAACACTAAATCTAACCTAAAGACTCCTTGGCAGGTACATCTAATTCCTGATTGTACATCCTGCCACGGAATGTACACCTTACATTCTGAAAACACTACCCCCTTCCTTTTTGCGTGTCAAGCCACCTGACACGTATTCCTAATTATTATGAAATAATCACATAGCTGTCTTAACGTGTGTTCACCCTGACTCGATTCATTTCTACCTTCCTTCGAGAGGACTGACTTGTTGACATCCTAGGACTCTTTATTTTTACACTGTTTTATACATATTCTTGGGGCAATGAGAAAACTTCTCGTCCAGGGTCTCATCAGCATGTTTCTCATCAGCGTAACCTATTCTACACGTGGATCGTTGCTTTAAAATCTCAGTTTTGATGATGCTGGGGATGTTGGTGATGTGAACGAGTTGTGTCTCATCAGTGTTGGTTGCTGCTGGGATGTAAGTGTTGGCTGAAGGAAAGACCTAATAAAGAGAGCAAGATTAATAAGCCTGGAGAAAGATTAGAAGACTGAAGAGGGAAAGATTTACAGAGTGAGAGGATGATTTAAATACGAAGGGAAAGATCTAAGAAAATATCTGGAGGCAGAAATGAACACTTAGAAATTAAATGAAAGAGATAGCGACTGAAAAGAGAATGTATTGGTTAAGGGAAAATTTAAGAGACTGAGTTAAATTTTTGAAACAGAAAAAATAGAGATTAGTGATAAAATTAAGAGACAGTGAGAAAACTGGAGATTTTCATTGATATATATATATATATATATATATATATATATATATATATATTATAATATATATATATATATATATATATATATATATTTATATATATATATATATATATATATATATATTATATATATATACTACATATAATGTAAACTTGAGGTTCATTTATTTTTTGTGTACATGATTAATCATGGAAAATATTAGCATGTTATACTTCATTCATGCATTTAGTCCTTCACTCAAGATGACCTTTATAAAACATTATGTTTACATAAGCCCAGTTAAACCATTTAAAATATAAATAGTCTAATGCCAGTCAGTGGAGACCACCACAGAATAAACACTATAAAAGCAAGTAGACAGAGCCCGTCTTATAATACTCAGTGTTTATCAACACAGACTTCAACTTAAAATAAACACATCCGCCTCTCCTGAATCCACATTGAGGCGTGAAACAACGCCCCAGTCAGCCACTTTATTTAACCTGCAGCGCCAATCAACACTTGAACTCCTAATCGACCGACTAGTCCAGATTATCATGGCATCAGATCATGTTTGCGGGAGGGCGCCCAGCAGCTACACCAAGTAGTCGCGGCTTTGAATGCGGCTCAAAGCCGAGTGTGGCTTTGAACGCGGCGCACAGCCGAGTGCGGTTTCGAAATTATCTCAGACCAAGCTGCTCACGGATCACCCAGACGATATAATCAGTAATAGCTTTCGCCTGAATTTCACGTTACTTTAACGAATGAGTTTTGGTGATTTAACTTTAACTTTAGTGAATGTGCACAGATGGACTGATGCTGCAGTAGCCAGATTTAGGCTTAGTTGGAAAAAATTCTTTCAGTTTGGCAAATGCACAGATGAACGACATACTAAATGCAAAGTATGGTCAGCCTTATGGTCACCTCGTTGAACACTGTTGTGGTTGATTGTAAACTTTGACGAATTAGACACATGTGCAACACCTGGATATCTATAATTTGCAGATGTTTCACCATTCAGTGGCTTTATCAACACAGTATATGGACATGATCTGAAGACTAGAAATATATCCAGAAGAAACTATGTTCTGGATATATTTCTAGTGTTCAGATTATGTCCATATACCACTGATATACTGATTGTAAACGTATTTACAACTGAAGACGTTTTATAGTGACTTACGTGTCATGTCAATATATATTATTTATTAGAGAAGTTAAAATACCAAACATTTTGAGAAAATATTCTAAATTTGCTTGTAACAGATGAAAAATAAATTTTAAATATATATATAGGGCCAGATGTACCCCTGTTAACTCTATTGGATTTAAGAAGGTCTTTTGTGTATCCATAAGCCCTTGCGCTACTGTTCACAGGATGGAAAATGGCCGCACAATATTGTAGCTGCTTAGACGGCAAAAATATAAATCTAAATCTAAGTAAAAGTTACATACGCAAGATGCTACTAAGGCTTCATACTGCCTAATCCTAACCCATAAAAATAGCTACCTGATTATTTTCAGCAAAATTTAAAATAATAGCCAACATGGAGGTAAATGAAAGCAAGAAAGTGAGGAAGCCTGTATACATAGAGGAGGGGAACGGACGGGACAAAGAGAGGAATTATAATTTCATGAGAGAGAGGAAGGAACGCTAATTCTGTAGGAAGTCATAACAATACTAGAAGAATTAGGAAGCGGTGCAATATTCACCTAGACAGTTACGTCTGTGTATTTCTCCATTCCTGTCTATGATTCTTCAGTCTTCTGAACGCTTTTCAGCGCCGTCTGGGAGACAGCACCTTCACCAGGCTTGTTCAGAATCTTCTTGCTCACAGTTGTAGAGTTTGCCTCGTATTTTTTCTCTCTTTTTTTATTCTTTATTAATTTCGTTTGATTTTTTTCTGGTTATCTTTGTAAACTGTTTGATGGTGTCTTCTGTGTAAACAGGAAAAGGAATAATTAATCTTGACTATTCTTGGATGATCTTTGGTAATCTTGAAACGAAAGATCTTGACTTTTCATGGATAATCTTGACTAATTTTGGATAACCTTGAAAAATATTGAATAATCTTTCATAATCTTGAAATGGATAATCTTGATTAATCTTGGATAATCTTGACTAATCTTCGATCTTGACTAATCTTCGATAATGCTTGACTAACCTTGGATAATCTTGACAAATATTAGATAACCTTTCATAATCTTGGATAATATGGACTAATGTTCGATATTTTGTTTATATATAATCTTAAAATGGAAAAAAAAAACTCTTCTTATCCGTCTTCCCCATGTACAAACACAAACTAACTTCCCTGATTTCTTTTAATAAGCTTCTCTTCCTCTCCCGGCCACTAGGCATTCTCAGACCTGCTTCTGGGGGTCTTCTGTATGCCATTCACGCTCGTCGGCTCCTTACTGAGAGATTTCATCTTCGGACCCATTATGTGTCGTCTCATTCCGTACTTCCAAGGTAGGTGATTTTTTTTTGGGTTATTGTGTATGTGTGTGTACACACTCGCCCAGTTCTGTTTGTTTGGGAGGTTGAATGTTGCTTATGTTTACACCGTGTGTGTATGTGTGTGTGTGTGTGTGTGTGTGTGTGTGTGTGTGTGGTTGTGTGTGTGTGTGTGTGTGTGTGTGTGTGTGTGTGTGTGAATCAAAATTTTTATTAAGCTTCCAAAGACCATTTTTTTCCCCTTCTTTTAATTTCCTTTTCAGTATTTTCTCTGCTGTGTGCGGATTATTTGTGTATTATTCCAGTCACGGTATTGTGTCTTTTTATTCTCTAAGATTTCTAATGTTCTTTCTGAGCTTATTTCACTTAGTGTAAAACTATGGCCTCATCTTATTATTACTGATGGCCCTACATAATCTTCTTGATTATATTCCCATATTATTGTATGATCTTATGTGTGATTATCATATCTCTCTCTTATCAACCGACGAGACTATTTTAGTGTTCTTAGTTTTTTTTTTTTTGTTTGTTTGAGATTACTCAGCTCATGCCATGTCAGCATCACATGTAATCAAACTTCCCCTGTGTTGCTGTCTACCTCCCTCCTTGTTTTCTTCCCCGGGTGATCAACTGCTGTTACAGGTTGTATGAGAGGAATTAGCGTCACCGACACTCGTTTCAAGCACTCGCGAACCTCACTTCTCCAGTAGCCCATTGCCCCTGAGTTTTAGGACTCTTTCGCCATGGGTTCCAACCCCACTCGTTCCGTCATTTGTTTATAATGGTGTTATTACGGTTTCGTGAGCTGTGATACGCGCTAGCTCTTCCACGTTTCCAAATTGTTCTTTGGTCTAACGGACGTGAGTTGGTTACTGGGGCTAATATCGATAACACGAGGGTCGTTTAAGGCTTTTTGTAACCTATTCACCCACAGCAAAAAGGCACAATACTGTGACTGGAACAATACACAAATAATCTACTGAATGTACAACAATGCATACAACCATATGACCTGTCTTTGTAATACTCACTTGTGCTTTATAGTAACCTGTTTACATTAATGTTTTATCACTGATTTCATCATTGCTTAGTTAATCTTAAGTTAATTTTAAGCCAGCCCGTAATGCTATGCATAGTATAAGTGGCTTTGGCATACTGCTCTTACCTGTATTTGTTGTACCTCTGTATGTGTGCTCAAATTTTTAAATAAATAAATAAATAAATAAATAAAAAAGCTTATGGCGACGCTTCCGTCCGACTTAAATAATTTACAAATCACACTGTTATTATAAATGGTTCATGTCGAACCGAAACATCGTCATAAGCTTCTCTCTCCTATGTGCGGGTAATTTGTGTATTCATTCCCAATCAGTCATTCTTTTATCTCCTAAAATTGGGGTTAAAGTTATCTCTTAACGGATATACACTAAGAGACATACACCTCTCGGTATATACACCCTGTATTTGCCCTACGTACCACTGCATGGTTTTCTAAGTTGCTAATACGTTGCTAAACATACGTGTAATGGAGGTTTATGTGACCTAAACAACTCTAACCTAAACTAAATTCATTTATCCTAAAAGAAATTAACCGAATGGAATTTTGAGGATAACAGGTAATGTGGACTAGTTGACGTTGAACAGACGATCAATCATTGAAATTTTGAAATGTGAGCAGAGTTGAATTCAGTACCATTATTGTTCCCAGTCAATTTCCACGTCACCTGTCGATAGATATCAGCTTGATCATAATATTTGATTGGATGACGATGATTATGTACAGCATCAGCACGGAAACAGAGAGAGAGAGAGAGAGAGAGAGAGAGAGAGAGAGAGAGAGAGAGAGTAAAGAAGAGGGATGGGAACATAGGTATACTATAGCAGCCCTAAGGACAAACTATACTCGAGTTGCTTCCATTCTTGTCTAAACACACTTCAGACAAGGATAGTATAGCAGAAGGTTCTCTCCCCACCCTTCACTCTTTCTCCACGCTGCTGGCGTTGAAAAATAGGTGAACAGAGTTAGCACATTGTGTAGAAAGAGTGCAAGTTGATACTCAGTATGAACTGAAAAGATATAATTTGCAGTTGAATTGCTATCATGTTACTACTACTATTACTACTAGTATTAATAATAATACTACTACTGTTTTACTACTATTACTACTATTATTACTACTAGTACTGTTACTACTACTATTACTATTATTACTGCTACTACCACTTCCACCACCACCACCACTACTACTACTACTACTACTACTACTACTACTACTACTACTACTATTACTACTGCTACTACTACTAATACTATTACTGCTATCACTACTGCTGGTACGTCTAGTACTACCTATACTACGATTGCTACTACTACTTCTATTCCTACTCTACTAGTGCTATTACTACTACTATTAATCCTGTTATATACTACTCCTACTACTGCTGCTACTGTATACTACTACTATTGTTATTTTTGTATTTTTAATAAATTTTTTTTATATTTTTTTATTATTATTATTTTTATTATTATTATTATTTTTATATTATTATTATTATTATTATTATTATTATTATTATTATTATTATTATTATTATTTTTATTTATTTTATTATTATTATTATTATTATTATTATTATTTTTATTATTATTATTATTATTATTAAAATCTTGGGACTATTATTTCTCTCTCAGGATTATACTATATACTCATATTATCAGGCTAATACTATATTCCCATGATAATATTGCCCAAAATATATTTTATAGATATTACTTTCACCTGCCTCTTCTCTCCCGGGCAAAATCTTCTACGTTATATTAATTAGCTTTTTAATAAGTTTAAAATTATCGACAGGGAGAACACTGTGAAGCATGAGGGAGGAAATTTCCAAAGCTGGATTAGGTACTGTTGATTAGGTTCCCGAAGTAATTAATCTGTTGCGTCTAATAAACAGTGGTGTAGTTATCTGTTGTATCTAATCAATGGTGGGGTAGTTTACCTGGAGTTTACCTGGAGAGGGTTTCGGGGGTCAACGCCCCCGCGGCCCGGTCTGAGACCAGGCCTCTTGATGGAGCAGGGTCTGATTAACCAGGCTGTTACTGCTGGCCGCACGCAAGCTGACGTACGAACCACAGCCCGGTTGGTCAGGTACTGACTTTAGGTGCCTGTCCAGTGCCTTCTTGAAGACAGCCAGGGGTCTATTGGTAATCCCCCTTATGTATGCTGGGAGGCAATTGAACAGTCTTGGGCCCTGGACACTTATTGTGTTGTCTCTCAGTGTACTCGTGGCACCCCTGCTTTTCATCGGGAGAATGTTGCATCTCCTGTCGAGTCTCATGCTTTCTTATGGAGTGATTTTCGTGTGCAGGTTTGGTATCAATCCCTCCAGGACCTTCCAAGAGTATATTACCATGTATCTCTTTCGCCTGCGTTCGAGGGAATACAGATCAAGAACCTTAACCGTTTCCAGCAGTTTAGGTGCCTTATCTCACTTATGTGTGCCGTGAAAGTTATCTGTTGTATCTAATCAACGGTGGGGTAGTTACCTGTTGTAACTAATCAACGGTGGGGTAGTTACCTGTTATATCTGATCAACAGTGGTGTAACCTGTTGTATCTGACCAACAGTTGTGTGGTTATCTGTTGTATAAGATGGTGTGATTACCTGTTGTGTAAGATGGTGTGGCTGTCGCTACAGGTTAGGGGGTTCGGTTAATGCTTCACTTACGAAACTTAACTTTGTTCAGCTTAACTAAGGCAATCTTAGGCAGTTAAGAGATCACTTACGCTTAAAAAGTTCCCAGAAAGGATAACTGCAGCAATTTTCACGAATTAAAAGCTGAGAACATTGGTAAAGTGTATTTTTTTTTTAACAAGCCGGCCGTGGTTGTCTTCTAATTTTAGTAATTTATAACAAAGACAAGGTTAATATCCCTTGCTTCCGGCATTTTAGAGGCACGTAAGTCCCCCTTGTTCTAATAACATGTTCATTTTTCCACTATAATCTACCTTGTTCATAATTATTATCGCGTTTGCTTTGTCTCGTAAGGTGAAGTCCAGGATCTTTCGTAAGGTGAAGTCCAGGATCTTTCGTAAGGTGAAGCCCAGGATCTTTCGTAAGGTGAAGTCCAGGATCTTTCGTAAGGTGAAGTCCAGGATTTTTCCTTAATTCATGGTATAACTTAAATCTTTGAGGACAATTGTAAACATGGCTTACGGAGGAATACTGCTGTACATTAACATCTCCATTCAAAGCAGGTGAAATTGCAGATCTAGAGAGTGTACAGAGATCATTTACTGCACGTATAAGTTCTGTCAAGCACCTTAACTACTGTGAACACTTGGAAGCACTTGACTTGTACTCGTTGGAACGCAGTAGGGAGAGATATATCATAATCTACACTTGGAAAATCTTGGAAGGAATGGTCCCAAATCTGCACACAGAAATCACTCCCTACGAAAGTAAAAGACTGGACAGGCGATGCAAAATGCCCCCAATAGAAAGTAGGGGCGCCATTGGTACACTAAGGGAAAACACCATAAGTGTCCGGGGCCCAAAACTGTTCAACAGCCTCCCATCAAGCATTAGGGGAATTGCCAATAAGCCCCTGGCTGCCTTCAAGAGAGAGCTGGACAAATACCTAAAGTCAGTGCCGGATCAGCCAGGCTGTGGCTCGTACGTTGGACTGCGTGCTGCCAGCAGTAACAGCCTAGTTGATCAGGCCCTGATCCATCGGGAGGCCTGGTCATGGACCGGGCCGCGGGGGCGTTGATCCCCGGAATAACTTCCAGGTAACCTCCAGGTTCCCCACAGAATATCTGCATGTAAACTGAAATAGGCCCAAGGCTCTTCTTCGTTTTAACGTGGAGATGAGGCCTACTGGGCAGGAGTGAAAAGATCTGTGTGCACGTGGTCACCAGTCCATTTACTAGCCTGACCCAGCGGTGCATAAATCGACTCCCTGAGAATCACACCTCCATTCATTTCGGAGGGAAATGATATACAACACCGACTCAGTGTTCAATGCGGTATAATGCCATTCTTTACTGACAACTTTTCGCCCACACTGTGGCTTCATCAGGTCACAAACAGATCTGATGGTGACAAATAAATTTGCTTGTAACAAACGGGCTTTATCAAATCGCAGGCTAGTATGTTTGTGGCTTGGTAAAGGCCGCTGTGTGAGCGAAACGTAGTCATATACACTGCATTTGTCTCTCTTTTTCCATTCTTCTTTGTCTTAATCTTCATAGTTTATTCTTCTTTGTCTTTTTCTTCTCGTGTTTCCTATTTTTTCTCCTTATAATAATAATAATAATAATAATAATAATAATAATAATAATAATAATAATAATAATAATAATAGAAACCTTAGTAATAATAATAATAATAATAATAATAATAATAATAATAATAATAATAATAATAATATTATAATAATAATAATTATTATTATTATTATTATTATTATTATTATTATTATTATTATTATTATTATTATTATTATTATTATTATTATTTCTGTTCTGCTTATTCTTCTCCTCACCATTATATTTTCCTCCACTCTCGTTCTCCCTTTAATCGAAAGTCTCTAAATTACTCTTATCCTGTGTCCAATCTTCATTCCAATTATCAGAATGATTTTATAGAGGCTTCGTGTCTCTCTCAGGTATATCACAGACAAGATCCTTTAGTTTAAGCGGATAATCGGGAGGGAGTGAGGGGGGGAAGAGCAGGTTCTGTGTATAGTGAGTTCTTAAGAATAAAGCTTTGTAGGCCAAGTGGCCTGTGTGAGGCGGCTTTCATGTTCTCGGGTTATGTTCGTAAGTGTATTTGTCCAGTCAGCACTCCAAGCTTTTGTCTGGTTTATTTGTCAGGTGTTTTGTACTTATTAACTATTATTATTATTATTATTATTATTATTATTATTATTATTATTATTATTATTATTATTATTATTATTATTATTATTATTATTATTTCTGTTATTATTATTATTATTATTATTATTATTTTATTATTATTATTATTTATTATTATTATTATTATTTCTGTTATTATAATTATAATTATTATTATTATTATTATTATTATTATTATTATTATTATTATTATTGATGTTGTTGGTCTTATCATTATTATTATTATTACTAGTAATAATAATAATACAGGTAATATTTTTGTTGCTATTGTTGTTACTGTTTTGTTATTATGATATTATTTTCCTACACCTAATCTGACTTACTGTAATTTTGTTTTAGTCTTTAAACTTTTTATTATCATATTTTATTATTTTCGACTCCCTTGACAACAATTAATATCATGGAATATTTTTGTCAGATTCAGATATTTTAATAAAAATCCATTATTTTTTTTTATTATACATTAAGGCAATGTATGTGAACGATTAAATTCACGCTTTATTTATCACTTACAAATGGTGTATTTTAACTGTTTGTGAATGTAGAGTGTATTTGTGTTTCCCAACCAGAGTTTAGTCCACATAGATTGTTTTTGTTTTGATGGCTGCTGTTAAATTCTTGCTGTTAGTGTGTTTGTGTATTCTCTTTTGTTTGTTTGTGTGTGTGTGTGTGTGTCCTATGTTTTTGTAAGTTTTTTCCATGTCTCTATTCTGTCTTTGAGATCTGTTTAAATATCTAAAATTTCCTTCGTGTCCCATATTTCTTGAAGTTATTTTTGTTCCTGTGTGTATATGAGTAACTAAAATATGTGTTTATGTGTCTTTGAGTAACTAATACATATATGTGTTCCTGTGAGTAACTAACATCTGTGTGTATGTGTCTCTCTAACCAGCCGTGTCTGTGTCGGTGTCTGTGTGGACACTCGTGGCCATCTCCCTTGAGAGATACTACGCTATATGCCAGCCTCTTCGCTCCAGAGGATGGCAGACACTCTCCCACGCTTACAAGATCATCAGTCTGGTGTGGTTACTCTCCCTCGTCTTCATGGCTCCCATAGCAGCGCTGTCACAGCTGCTGCCGGTTGGGGACACCAGTGAGTCCGATTAATAATGTTTATTTAGCTCGTTTTCTTGCACACTTTCACGAAAACGTGAAAGTGTGTAAGATAGCAACACACTCCTCCTAAGTAAATGTCGGGTATTTACGTCAGCTCAGGACCTCGTTAAATAAAAAGACTGTGACATTATACTACTATTTATGAACGCTGGGTTTTTAAGTAATGCTTATCCTATACAGAAAATGGGTACCGGTTTTGTCGTCTGCATTTTTTGTTCTTATTGCATGTAAGAATTAGTTTATAAAAATTATTTGGCTTTACTCTAATCTAATTAAACCTAACCTAACCTAAATAACATATGTATTGTTCTTAAGTATAATAATCCTTGGCAATCAAGTTGTAATTCAAGGTCAGGTGCCGAGGTGTCCTGGACACAATACTACCAGGTGAAGACCCCATCATATAATACTACTTGGTCTAATTCCTTGTTAACAGTAATTTTCTATTTTGCTAATTTAACCTGTTTCTGCGATTTCTTGCTCTCTAAGTATCTAGGTATCTTCCCTAATAACTGTTTTCAGTATGTTTGTTTCTCTTTATTAAAGTAATTTGCCTTCATAAATTTCCGTCAGTTGCAAATGAATGGAAAATCTCTACTATTTAGAGGGGAAAGAGATCAGCCTAAGAAGACATGTAGCATGACGAAACTTCAAGGATTTGCAATGCAATAGTACAATTCTTTGTCATGTTAGCACCAACGGGAGAGGTGATATTTATACCAGTCAACAACATAAAAATCTTAAGGCTAGAGGTAACACGTTAAGAATGTTCTTACATTTTGCTTCGGATTTCTTTCTACGTTTCTCCCATGGCTGCCTCACAGTAGCTCCCGACACACTGACTCTGCCACCACTAAGATTAGTTGACCTACCTTAACAGGGGTCTCTTGTCCAAAAGACCTATTGCCTGAAACCTGTCATCAACCTGTGAAAATGTTTAGTCTCTCTTTACTACACACCGAGAAAGCAATTCGCTTTATTTAAACTGGAATGTTTACAGAAATTAATTAAATTATCTTTCCCAACTAAACTACAAAATGTAATTGGAATTGGAAGACTTTTAGGTCCGTTCTCGAGTATTGTCTGACTCGTAAGTTAATAGTGGTTCAGAACGTGACCGAAATGTTGTTAATTTTCCATTTCCATATTGTACATTAATTGTGAACTGTTCCACCAACGATTGCGTAACTTTTATTCTATATATTTTTATCCTCCTACATCAAAGCAGCATTGTCTCACTCTTGCCTTGTCTCTCCCCACTTAGACGCAGTAATGACACCTGACTACTGCGTCTCCCCCACACTTAGACACAGTAATGACACCTGACTACTGCCTCTCTCCAACATTTAGACGCAGTAATGCTACCTAAGTACTGCCTCTCTCTCTCACACTTAGACGCAGTGAAGACACTTGACTACTGCCTCTCCCCTTTACCCAGACGCAGCAGTGTTTCTTAACCCCTGCCTCTATTCCCACAGGTCGTCACAAGTGCCGGGAGATGTGGCCGAGCCTCCACCTAGAACGTGGGTTCAGCATGTTCCTGTGTGCAGGTCTGCTGCTGGTGCCGCTGGTGATCATGGTGGCCGCCTATTCCTCCATCATTATCTCTCTGTGGCACGGCATGCGGCTTGAGCGTGAGACCGGCCAAGGTACCCGTTCCTGTACGTCACACATACCGCTGTACGTCCATGTACGCACAACACTTGCATGCATACGCCAGCTTTGTGCATCCTCACTGCATGCATGATCCTGCATGTTAGTATATTCAGGTGCGTTGGGCACATGCATGGTACTGTTGCTTTTCTTGATATTTTCACAAATACAACAAAAGTATGATAGAAAAACCACCACAATTAAAAGTTGCGACCGCAGTATCCCACGACCTTCAGACAAATCAAGATTTGTAATTGGTGCAATAAGACTTGTTCCAACCTTTCGACTTGTTAATCTGTGTTCCTGCCAATGGTAATCACTGCAAAGCACTTAAAAGTCAGTTCATTCTAGGAAATGAGGTCCCAGCTGGCTCTCAGCTCATCCAGTGCCATGATGGTACTTCTCTCGTTTCTACTGGCTTCAGTTAAGGATTCCATTTGATATACTGTCATGAAACTGGATCGAAGTTTTTCTTAGTGGTGATTTTACTCGCAGCTGATAGCATGTTAATGCAGCACACTGATCCTTACAGAAGTTGGCATATTATCACGAATGTTTTTTATACAAGAATCTCTTAAGGAGGTTAATGACGAGGCTAGAAACATTTCGAGGTATGTAATTGTCACTTGACAGCCTAATGTGATGTATCACTTATGCATGAACTAATTTTTATTTCAGTGATTTGAAACGGATAATCGCTCTTTTTCACTGTTAAAAGACACATTAATTTGAAGTCTCTTCACTGCAAGACGGATTAATAAAGTCCCTTTAATACAAGGTATATAAAATAGGTTTACCAAACTGAAATATCAGCTTCGTAAATGACAAGAAATTTTGCTTAGTCCTACGGTTGAGTCAGGCCCCACTGTCGTCCAGAATCACTTTAAATGGCTCCAAATTCCTGTCAGTACTGTAACGTGTGTCTAGGCTTTTACGGGCGACTCCTTACTCCGAATAACCCACCCGAGTTGAGCATTTTATACAGCGAATTTTGGAAAAGTGACAATCCTAACTTATGTTCAAGGTAACTTGGCACTGGCAGACTTGATGTGTCAGTGCACAAATGAAATAAATGCCTTAAAACAAAGCATACTAACTATTCTGGCCACTTGTTCTGACAACGTACTTATGGGAAGTGGGAGGGGAGGAACTGGAGTCTAACTAGTGGTTTGGGGCGTAGTGGAGTTTGACAACGTTACTGGGGGGATAGTGGAGTCCGATAACGTTACTGGGGGGATGGAGTCCGACAACGTTACTGGGGGGATAGTGGAGTCCGACAACGTTACTGGGGGGATAGTGGCGTCTGACAACGTTACTGGGGAGATAGTGGAAACTGACAACGTTACTGGGGAGATAGTGGAGACTGCTAACATTACTAGAGGGATGGGGAAATTTCTCAACGTGAGGCTTCGGGCATCACTCGGAGTTCACAAGTCAATATTGACATGGTACAGCCAGCGCATTCATCAGAGAGATCTAGGAAAGTTGATATAGCTGTCAGAGAGATCTAGGTAAGCTGACGCAGCTGGCAGACAGGTCTAGGTAAGTTGATGGCGGTGTCAGAGACACCTGAGAATGCTGATACAGTATTCATAAGGACTTGGAGAAGCTTACACTGAGGACAGAGGGATCTAGACCAGCTTGGACAGTGTTCATAGGGAACTAGAGAAGCTGACTCGGAGGACAGAGGGACCTAGACCAGCTGGGACAATGGTCATAGAACCAGACAAGCCGGGAAAGGTACCCAGACAAACTACCAGAGGACACAAGAACAGAGGCAAAATGGAGCAGTGAACACAGTAGTAAGACACATGGACAAACTGAGGCAATGGTTTGAGTAACGCACCATGAGTTTCAGAGTCGATGACCGAGAAAAATGCACTCACCTGTATAGAGCATGATTAAGGAAGAATGAATAAACATTATGCATGAATAAAAAAAAAAACGATGAAGAACAAAGCATGAATAAATCAAACACCAAACTAAAGGTACGAATGAAGATTATTGTAAAACACTCTGCATGGTAAAATTTCAAGCATGATTGATGAAAAATGAGAAAATATTTTTAAAAGTAAAAAATAAAATGATCCACAGCAGGTTGTGAGATTTCATAAAAAGGAAATAAAATCATAAAACACCAAAAACAATATTGACACTCCACAACGTTTTTCTCGAATCACCTTAAAAGTCAGACTTTGCTCCCTGACTGTATGAAAGATTAAGAAAAAAGACAGAAAAAAACTATTTCTCAATAATGGCATTGGTTCAGTCGCTCTTTTCTGCAAGTATTTTCTCTTTCTCTCTTCCTCTCTCTCTCTCTCCGTTTAATAATATTATATATATTATAATATATATATAATTATATTATAATATTATATATAATATATATATTTATAAATATATAATATATAAATATAAAATATAAATAATATTATATATATAAATTTAAAAATATATTTTATAATTTTTTTATATATATTATAAATATAAAATATATATATATAATATATATATTTTTAAATATATATATTATAAAAAAATAATATATTTATTTATTTTATATATATATTTTAAATTTATTGGGCTAGAAACCCCCTTCTCCTGTAGACATTTACTAAAAAGAGAAAAAAAAACTTTATAAAACTGGATGCTTGAATGTCGGGATGTAGTGGGATGCAAGAAAACAGATGATTGCTGATGTTATGAATAAAAAGAGAGGATTCCTGGCCCAAGCGAAACAAAGCTAAAGGGGGGGGTAGGGGATTTCAGTGGGGGGGAAATAAAGGTTAAATGGGGAGTATCGAGAAGTTACAGAAAAAGGAAGGGTATCTAATGTTGAAAAAATCAAGTTAGGGAAAGGGAAAAAAGAAAATTGAATGTGTAAATTCAAAATTATGTGGATTAAAGTAAAGGTGGATGCAAAAAGTGGGTCATAATAAGATGTATGCACCGGGAAAAGAGAGGGAGTAGAGGAGGGAGAGATTCTGGGAGGGGTTTAAGTGAATGTAAAAGGGCCTTTGAACCAATGGAGATAATTGTGGTAGGGGACATGAATGCTAAAGTAGGGAAACTTTTAGAGAGGGTGGGGTAGGAAATTTTGGGGGGTGCCAGGTGTAAATGAAAATGGGAGCCCTTTGTTTAAATTTTGTTACAAAGGGTTTATTTAAAGGGAATACTATCTTAAGAAAAAGAGGATAAAAATATACAAGTATGATGTGGGGCAAAATGACGTATTTGTTGGATTATGTTTTGGTAGTAAAAACTGTTGAGTAGGATTTCAGGAGTACAGTTTATCGAGGGGCCAAAGATATTCAGATCCTTCTAGTTGTAGCTACACTGAAGAAAAAGGAGAGGGGGTACGGGGGAAAAAAAAAACATCACAGGGAAGGAGAGGTAAAGGGTTTTATAATTAAAAAGGAGGCAGAAGGGTAAATATAAACAGTATTGGAGGATAATGGGTAATGGAAGATAGGAAATGGGGTCAAGGTATGGGGAAAGGGGTTTAAAAATGTAGTGTTGAGTGTTCAGAGAAGTTTGTGGCTAAGGAAAGTGGGTGGGGAGGAAAAGGGCGTTTGGTGAAATGATGATGTAAAGAGATAGTAAGGGAAAAAAAAAGTTAGCATATGAGAAGTTTTAACAAAGTAAAGTGATGCAAGGGGGGAAGAGTTATGGAGAAAAAGAAGGGGTTTAAAGAGAGTGGGAAGCAAGAAAAAAGAGGCAAATGGGGGGTGGGTGAGATGTTATCAAAAATTTTTTGTTGAAAATAAAAAAATTTTTGGAGTGAGATTAAACAATTTAAAGGGAAGCCTAGAGAACAAATGGATTTTTAATTTAAAAATAGGAGGGAAGTTATTAAATGGGGTTAGGAGGTATTGGGGGAAGATGGAGGGAATATTTTGAGGAATTGTTAAATTTTATGAAGATAGGGAAGCTGTGATTTGTGTATAGGGCAAGGAGGAAAAGTTTTGTGGGTGGGGGAAGAGCCATTTGTGGTGGGGGGGGAAATTTTCGGGGGGCAGTAGGTAAAAATAAAAGGGGTAAGGCAGCGGTTGATGGATAAAGATAGAAATTTTTAAAAGCGGGTGGGGATATATTTTTGGGAGGGTTGGTGCAATTATTTAAAAAATGTAGGGAAAGGGGGTAAGGTACTGGGGATTGGCAGAGGCAGCATATTTCCCTTTTGTATAAAGGCAAGGGGACAAAAGAGATTTGCAAAAAAATTATAGGGGGAAAAGTTGGGTTTCCCTGGTAAATGTATGGTAGAGTTATTATTAAAAGAATTAAGGGGAAGAGGGAAAATAGGATAGCAATGAAAAAGGGGCTTTGGAAAGGTGGGGGTTTGGTGGAAAGTGTTTACAGTGAAAATTAAGTGAACGTATTTAGATAAAGGCTAAAGAGGTTTTGGGCTTAGGGATTTGGAAAAGGCGTATGACAGGGTGGATGGGGGGGGCAATGGGGGGCAGATGTTGCGGTGTATGGTTTTTTTGGAGGTGGGTTTATGAAAAGTAGTAAAGAGTTTTTACGAGGAAAGTGAGGCTCAAGTTGGGGTTTGTGGGAAAGAGGAAATTTTTCCCCGTAAACGTAGGCCTTAGACAAGGATGTGTGATGTCATTTGGGTTGTTTAAAATATTTATAGATGGGGTTAAAACAAAAGTAAATGCGAGGGTTTTGACAAGAGGATTAAAAAAAAGAATACACATAAATTTGGGAGTTGTCACAGTTGCCCCTTTGCTGATGACCCTGTGCTTTTGGGGAGATTCTGAAAAAAAGTTGCAGAGATTGGGGTAAATTTTGGGTTTTAGTGGTGCAAAAAAAAAAATTTAAAAAGTGAATACGGAAAGAGTAGGTTTATGGGGATAAAAAAAAGTTAGGTGATGAAGTTGGATACAATTGGAGGAAGAGGATGGAGGGGGTGAATGTTTCAGTATTTGGGAGTGGACGTGCAGGGGAAAGGGTCTAAAAGGTGAGGTGAATTAGAATTGATGGGGGGGAAAAGGGTGAGTGGGCCTTGGATTGTGGAGACAAAGAACTTTGTCCTTGGGCGCAAAGGGGGAAGTATGAGAGAAAGTTTAAAACCCCTCTTATGGG